TTTGGGTCAGCTGTCCTGGCTGTGCCCCCTCCCAGCTTCTTGTGCACCCCCAGCCTTCTCAGTCGGTAGAGCATGGGAAGCTGAAAAGTCCTTGACTAGTGTAAGTGCTGCTTAGCAACAACTAAAACATCGGTGTGTTATCAATGTTATTCTCATCCTCAATCCAAAACACAGCACTGCACCAGCTACTAGGAAGAAAATTAACTCTATCCCAGCCGAAACCAGGACATGGTCTCATTCTGTAACAGCACAAAGAAACTAGTTCTTAAGACCACTTCTGTTTCTTCTTCAGGATTATAAGCTCAGTGTCTGCATCTTCATCCCAGCGTTCTGTGATTGGCACATGAATATTCAAGTTTCTAAATTGGCTAGAAGTATTCTCAATGGTAACTTCTTTCTACGAAATTCAATTTTAAAATGATTGTTGGAAAAATGTCTTTATTGCTGTTGCTAGAGATGGTGGTGTGGGAGTCATATCTGAGGATTATTAAATGCAGGGTTTGACTGATGATCAAACTAAGTTTGTTGGGTGGTAGTTTTCCTTCTGTATTATCCGTTATTCCAGAAGTCACGTTTTTATAGCTAATTGCAGGAACTAGCCAGGAGGAATAGCTTAATAAACAAATTTTTGTTTCGACAAGACTGCTTCCCGATGAATGGGGAAAGTCAGGATTGTATTCTTGTGTGTTGGCTGGTAATTGGTTAACATCAAGACATCAATTAGTAGTTTTTTTGTTACTGTGAGATCGTCTGTGTGTTTATGGGCATAAACTCAAGTTAGCAGCTAAAAGCCACCATTTCTGGAGAGGAGAGAGCAGCCACATAACTTTCTTCCTCAAGTAAATTTTTACCTTAAATATAGCAGTTTGGTTTTGTTCAGTGGATGTACGTATTTCACAGTTGCAAGTAAATTGCATACAGTCTAGTATTCTATTGAGTTGAATATAGAGCACTGGATCTACTTTTCACTCCTCAGGTAACAAGGAGGGAGTTTGGCAGTTTACTGTCTGACAACCCAGCATGTACTGTTTGGTTTTCAGGGAAGTTATTGAAAAGGTGATTGCAGTGGTTATAACCACTCTTGCTCTCTGCTGGTCTACAAATAGACTACAGTTAATGTGATTACTTTTACATTTTTTTTATATTACTCAAGACATTGTAGATTCAGTCTGCAATGTTAACAGAACATGTTGATAAAAGCTAATGCAAAACAAAATTGTTGGTAGAAGAATTGACAGTATAAAAATACTCCCTTTTTCAGAAATAGCAAACCAGCAATAAAATTTTAGGTTTTGTTTTTTTGCTGTTGAGAGGTTGTCAATAATGTCTATTGTGTTTTATACACGCGTGCATGTGTGTGTATATATACACACTCTTAAAAAACCTTGATTATGTTTTTGAGGATTTTCTAGCATGCACAAACAAAAGAATATATAATGTGCCCCAATCACTCACTGTTTCACCTGAAAAAAACCTATCAGCGAATGTGCTCAGTGATGTGTACAGTATGTTATAGTGAGGAAGTGAAGCCAAAATGAATAAAGTGAAGCTAAAGTGAAAATAAAGATAACAGCAAAAATATTGGGAAGTGTCTCATGGAGATATAACTTAAATTAATACTTTCAGACTTCCTTTTTAGGAAAGGGTTGTTGGATATAGTCTGGAAGAACCGGATAAAAACCAAATACTTTGGTTTTGTGGAG